ATCATGTATTCACCTACTAAAACTTTCAGGTTTAGTTTGCTCATTTAGCGTATATTTTTTCCTAGTCAACTTTTCCATTTTGAAATAGGAAGGGAAAAAAAAAGTGCATGGATAATTTTTTCTCTTAACATCTTCCTCTACGTTCAGTGCATAGCAAAGGTACATGACCTACTCAGGAGCTTACATGTTATGAAAGGATGCCTGCTTGCCCTCGGTGAATGAGACAGAAGAATTTAACACAACGTGGGACAACCTTGTTCTAGTGGCTGGCTTGCTTTTCCAACAAGCTGGGTTACAAGTATTTACTCCCATATTTTTAAATGGCTTTCCAACAGGTACACAAGAAGGCTCTGAGATGTGAATAAACTGCTACCAGGCAAAGTCATTCTACCAGATGAAATAATTTATGAGTTATCACTTCAGGCTTTGCTGTTCCTGCCTTCTTCCTCTTCACTCATACAAAGCACCTCAGGATATATCAACTTTTTATGCTCCTTTTATACAACTAAAACTAGAGAGCATCTTCTTAAAAAAAAATCTCAAGCCACAAAACTGGGTTTAGGATTAAACCTAGAAATAATACTTTCAATTATTATTTCAACCATTACACTTAAACCTCAATATACTATTCTGTTTGTATTTTCACCTGTATAAGGAAATAAAATTAGTAATATAAATATCAAGCACATTAATGGATTTTTATAACCATACTTACAGAAAAAACAGCAGCCACAGTCTCAACAGCACCAGTACTTAGAGTAACATAGGGGATCGTTTCATGATTGATCCCAGCTTCACTAAAGATGTTGTTTGTGTAGTACCAGATCTGTATCAGACAGAAGAAAATGAGTTATTAATCATGATGGTTTGAACTATAACATATCGGTATTCAGTTCAAGCAGCTGATCTGCCAGAGACCAGACTTGTTAAAACACTGAGCACTCCCGAATGACCACGGGCTGGGCAGGACAACAAAAGAAGGGAAGGTGCAAATTTCAGGTGCTTTAGTCACAACACTGCTGTACTTCTGCTTGCAGACCCAGGCAGAATTACAAGCAGCTTTAACTGACTTTAGCGTAATTCACTTAGTAAATCGAAGAAACTCACTTTAAGGTCGAACAAGAGGATACAAATAGGTTTTATGTGGCTGAGCCATACTGCTTAAAAAGCAGGTTTGGGTGGCTTTATGGAACACTTCAATGGCATGTAACAACAGAAGGGAGAACAGGAAAGAGATGCTGAGAGGCACTGCAGAAACTGCTCCTTTTTGGACAAAAGGCATGAGATTTATCTCACTTTAACCTCACCGCAGCGTGGACATCTGCTGTCAAGCCATCACCCTAATCTCTCTTTATTATCAACAGAAAGAAAAGATGCTTTTAGAATGAGAGTCACTTGGTGAAAAGTAAACAGCTGCTTTTAGGATGAAATGGATCATAGGCTAGAAGGAGCTGCCACTAATGGACAGAAACACGGGGAGCACAGGGTTACCAGCTTAGACTTTTGTGTTTGGTCAGTAAAACCATATCCAGTGGTGACAATACCCAGAGAGAGACTATGTAGTCATAAGACTTTAAAATAACAAGCCTGGTAAGTACCAAAGCCCCATTCACATCACAAAGTCTGAAAACCGTATAGTATTTATGTTGGACTCAAGGTGACAACAAAGAACTAGCCAAAGATTTTTGGCTGCCAAAAACATGCAACAAGGAGAGACTGCCTTGGAGAGAGAAAAGGTAACTGATTTACTAGAGAAGATGAAACTCAATTGAAACAACTGATTATCAGAAGAATATAAAGTTCTAAACCACAGCTGATTACCTGTGACAACAAAACTGGAAGCCAGAGATAATAATAGCACTAAACATAAAAGTAGCAGTGATATTTTTTCCCATATGCTCTCCATGTGACAGGCCCTAACAGGGCAAGCACTGCTAAAGAAAAGGCTTTTCTGATGAATGGAAGTGTTTTGATCACATGGGGAATACCCTGCTGCATGCCAGTATGTTATGCACATTACATCTGTTCATCAAGTTACTAACTCAGGAGCTCTGTAAAAAAGAAAAGTAATTCTAAATTCCCAACTAGCCCTTCAGCAAAGCTGCTTGTCCAAGACCAAAGAAGAAAATCCAACTCATCTTATGTAAAACAAAAGTAAAATAAATTAACAAGAAATAAAAAGTCACCTATATCACCTTACAGATAAAGAGAAGCTGACTCAAGACTTTTACGCCTATTGCTGGCACATCAGCTCTCACCAGAATAGATGCAGTGACAATAAGTGATAGCAGCAAAATTCTCTACATGAAGTAGTCTGCCTTCATGTAGTGTGCGCTGGTGTTAACTCTGCATTTCATTGGCCTTGCCAATACAGAGCACAGACTGAAGCAAAACCAAGGATCAGCTCCCAATTCCCTCTGAAATGTTTATGCACACTGATAAATTTTTTTGGGACCCAGCACTCTGACAACCTATTCACCTCCCATACCCCTACCCAGTATATAAGGGAAACAAGGTAGCACAAAAATGTTGTAAGTGTAATCTTGTTCTCCATACGAGAAGTTACAAGATTGAAAAATTCATGCAATGGAAGTTAGAAACCATGTAATTTAGGCATTTCATTCTTGATAACAGTTTTGTATAGCAGGTAGAGCTTCTAAAAATGATGGCAATATTGCAGGTATGCAGACCTTGAAAGAGAAGAAAGAGGCCAAAGAGTCACTTAATCAGGCAACTCCTGAATGCAACTGGTCAAAATGTAACAACTAGAACATAAGACGTTTTGTAAGTGGTTTTACAGAAGAGCATGACTGACCATTGATGTTAAGAGTGGTAGTAAACCAGCTAGATTAAAAAACTGACAGAGCAAAGACAGGATAAGGTTCACTGCAGTGAATTAGTCTCTGTAGCAGCACAAAAATAAATTAGGGTAAAAATTAACAAGATGTACACATTTCAAAACAATAAAAGTGAATGTTTTTCAGCCTGTGTATCATTAAACAGGGAAATACACTGCTCTAGGATATGACTGAGACAAACTTACTAGGCTAATGATGACTACTCTCACTATTTTTCTAACATGGTTTTTGTTAGGTAATGATATCATTAGCTAACAAAATTAGCTAATGATTGGGCTAAAAGTTTTGGAATGAAAGAGCTGTGGAAAATGGAGCAGAAGGTCCAAAAACCCAGAAACAAGTGCTGTCAGATCCAAATCAACACAGGGAAATCTGACTTCCTGTGTCCATGGTGGATTGCTGTTGCTTGACAGGCTGATGTAAAACGTCGCCACTTTAGTCAGTTAAACAGCTGCCATGAGAAACAGCTGTATGTCTGCAGTCCGATTTCTGTGAGTTTGGAGGTTACATTTTAGCATTCTTGTCCGTAGATTACAGTTAGCTGCATGGCAGTTGCTTTCTTTGCTTATCATAAGGTTTTACTCTAAGCTTAAAGTGACATGTGCTATACGTTATCAGTGGTGTTCCCAAACTTTCTCACACCATTGGCCCCTCCAGCATCAACTCAGTTTTCCAGTCCTTTTATTTTTCATCCAGCTCCCTATGTACATTTCTTCCTAAGAAATTCAAATCTTCAACAGGAAAAGACAGCAACAAAAAACAGATGGGCAACAACACAGACATATATGGTGTTGCACAGTACATACTCATCCCTTCCTGCACTACCCGATACCAGGTAGCAAATGTGAAGAGCACACTACAGTAGATCTTTTGCATACTGAAAACATGCATTGCTGCACAGACCCCCATCCCCAGCATGATTTCTTGCCATTTGAAATACAGCCCTCTACCTTAAGGCCAGACCCCACAGAAGCCTAGGGATCACACTTTGGGAATCTCTCTTAAAGCAATATGCAGTACAGTATATTTCTTGACATGAAAAAGGACAAAGTTCACCAATGAGAACTTCACTGTCATTTTGTGTCTTCTTTAGAACTGAGCTACAATGGTGGAAGATAAATAAATTCGTTATGGATGATATGCATCATGGATAAATTTTATGAGATGAAAAGAGACTAATACAGATTCATTTATTTATGTCAGTTTAGGTCAGACTGTCTAGTATTTTGTTACAATTGAATACATTAATATGATCAGGGCTTCACCATGATTGCTGTTCCATGTGGAAACCAAATGTACTGGTTTTAAGCAAAACAAATTTTTATTGTAAAGTACAAGCCTTTTAAGGCTTTAAGGCTTTACTAAGGAAGCAAGTGTTCTCAGATACCAGCAGGATGATTACAGAAGTCTGCCAGTTAGTAATTTCCCTGGAGAGTGACCTGAAACTTGCCTGAAAGAAGTCCAACTTTCCCATATGCCCTGCCCAGATGGTAGTTGTGGAAAAGACCAGACTGACTAACAGGGCACTACAGACAAAGCAAATGATGGGAGCTGTGAGTTAGAAGGAAGCGTTTGCAGCCTGTTAAACCTTGCTGATGCTGGCTCATACCCAGCAGGTTAGCTCAGATGCAGCCAGGCAAACCAAGACCTGGGTTCAGCAGTATCTGTCACACCTGTACCTGCCCTCTAATCTCTGAGCTTCAGGCAACTTGAGCAAGATCAGCCAGGAAAGCCATGCAGAAGAGACAAGGAATTGAAACCTGGTCTCTTAATCAAGTGGTCCAACTATTTCTCTTGAACTCTCTTATGATTTGCTTGTTTTTCCTGGATGAACTATTTAAAACAAAAAAAATTCAGAATGCAAATTTTTTTTCATGTTTAGTGGCATTATATGGGAGGAGAAACAAAGTAATAATAAAAAAAAAGGTAAGGCTTAAAACAGCCAACTTGGTACACAGGTTTCCTGACAAAAATAATTTTTCTGAGGCATATTTTCACAAAGTGGCCACCTAATGACACTTAAAAACAACTCTGGTATTCATTTTGGACTGGACATGTCTCACTATCCCCCCACTCAAGCTATGAGAGTGTGACTTTGTTCTGCCATGGAATACTGGACAATTTCTGTCATCTATTAGATATCCTCAAAGCCACAAAACTCTTCTCTTTCCCCTGAAATTTTAGCTGTGGCATTCTTTTTTTTTTTTAGGCAACATGCTTTATTATTTTAACAGGCTGTTTCTTACTACAAGTTCATTTTATTTCACTCATGTGTTGATAAATCTTAGAAAGACTGCATGACAAGATAATTCCATTTCTTTTCTTAAAAAAAGTATCCACAATGAGGAACAAAATAGCTGTCCTTAGCACCAAAATCCTACAATTAGAAGAAAACACCACTTATACAAACATTTTTATAGTTCTCTCCACAGGACGAAAAAATCTTCTAGCTCCCTCCTAGTATTTCGTTAAAAACTTTTAGATACCAGAGTTCTAACTGCATTAGTCTTTCAAATGGTCTTGGACAAATTACTTTGTATTAGGAGTTTTAAAGCTATAGCAATACCTGAGATAAGCCTGAACTAGTTGTCTTAGATATCAGAAGCATTTACACTTATTATCACTGATTAGCTCTGGGGGAAAAAACTAGCTGCAGTATGCTGCAATGCACAAAGCCACAGTGAGAGCTCCTTTCAGCAGCAGTAATACTGCCTTTCATATACATAAGCAATTAACGTTTTTTAACTATGACAAAACCCCCTTTTGCTTTGAGGCACTTCATGAGAACATTTGTGTTGTGCAACGTAAAGCATCTAACCCAGATGTCAAGCTGCAGCAAGCAAAGTTCTGGCTTGATATAAAGAAAATGCTTTTCACAGTGTAAGTGGTGAAAACACCTGGCACAGGTGGCCCAGGGAGGCTGTGGACTCTTCAGCTTGGAGAAACTTAAAACTCAACTGCACAAAGCCCTCAGTAGCCTGAGTCAACCCTGAAGTCAGTCCTGCTTTGGGCAGGGGGTTGGACCAGATGACCTCCAAAGATCCCTTCCAATCTGAATTGTCCTGTGACCCTCTCCTGGCTGATGCAATAGGCTCAGACAGATGGAAAAGGAGACTTCGACATCCATTAGCCTCAGACACATTAATGGTCAACAGGACTTCTCGCTATTGACCGTTTTGTGTCTTTTTTTCCTCTTTCGCTCCACTTTCCAAGAAAGGCATATTGAAGTGCAGCTTATTCTTCAAATTGTATGAAACAACAACAAAAATCAAACATCCAGTGCAACCTCTTAAAATCACTTACAGGAACTTTCACTGACTTCTGTAAGTACAGAACTGAATTAGTCAAAGCAGAAATGTCTACCGAAAAGACCAAGTTTACCTAACATGAACAAACATGGGGCATATCAGACCAGACCTTAACTGACCAGAAACAGAGAATCTGAGTATCAGAAGCAGAAATTGCACACT